CGTGCCCTTCAGCCTCGGCCTGCGCTGGATCGTGCACCCGGCCGTCGTGCGCGCGGTCTGCGGGCGTCGAACGTCTGGGGGCCCGACGCGCTGTCGAGGCTGTTTGGGAGCGTCGTCATCGTGCGCCAGGGTCAGGGCCAGGGCCAGGGCCAGGGGCCGTCGCGGCGGCGGCGGCCCCTTGCGGGGCGAGATGGTCTTCCAGCGGCTGCTGTTCTGGCACGGGTTTTCCGTGACCAAGACGTACGGCGGCGTCGTCCATCCCGTGCATGTCGAGGGGCTGCTGGCGTACCTCGCCTTTTGCGCAGCGGCTTGCGCGCGGTGCCACGGAGGGTGGGTTTCGGGGCTGGTGGGAGGATTGGAAAGATGGGCTCGTCGCGCAGGGGAGGGAGGTGGCGGCCCTGGTGAGCCCGTATTTCGATGAGGACGAGCCGAGACATCCGCGCTCGTTGGATCTCGAGACGGAGAGCCTGCTGGCGTTCCTCAAGAAGAAGAGGGAGTGTGATGCGGAGAGCATCGAGGACGTGTACGGCGATTTGGTCTTCTGACGGGCCGGCTCTGGATGCATCCCACGAGGCGCAGTGTGGTTGTAGTCAGGCATTGGCATGCGAAGGTGAGATCTGATGAGACTCGGACGGGGGGGAAAGGGGGAAAAGGGAGACGGGGTTGGCTAAGGAACCTCGTCTGCCAAAGGCATGACGAGCACGAGATGATGTCAATGGAGCAAACGCACCCTCGTACCACAAAGCCTGCTCGATATCTATGCATGACCGACGCGGGTGTGGAGGTGCAGTACGTCGTTTGGAACGTTTTCCTTCTCCGTGAGCTCTTGTCGTCCTTCTCATCATCATCGTGGGAACAACGCAGTCCCACATCCTCCGCAATGCGCGCCAGACGGCTGCCCCTCAGTAGATATCAAACACCTCATGCAGAGGTTCCTCCTCAAGAAACTCCCCCTCCATAATCCCAGCCACGTACGAATCCCCCTTGAAAACAAAACCACCACCCTGCCTCTGCCCCAGCACGACCGGCGCCGGCGCATTCCAAACAAGCGACAAGACGTCGCCGGCTTGCACGCCGGCCCAGCAGATGCCGAGGCGGCCACCCTCTGTCCAGAAAAAGGTCCGCCCGCGCAGACACGCCGCCCAATGCCGCCGCAACGCATCGGCAAACTCGGCAATGTTTTCGTCCGTCAGGGCCACCTCCGCGGGCGCCGAGCTCCAGTAGCCGTAAACGTCATCCCGGAACAGGGCGGCCTCTGTGTCGTCGAGGGCGTCGGCGGCGATGGGACGGGCGAGCAGCATCTTGCTGACGAGCCGGAACACCTTGGGCGCCTCTATGCGGGCCATGTGCTCCACCGACACGGGATCCATGGCCGTGACGGCTGTGGCGAGGGCCGACACGGTGGCGCCCCAGTCGGGATTCGGTTTCGACGCCTCGTCGAGGCGGGCGAACGCCTCGACGGCGGACCAGTCGAGATCGGGGTGGCATCGTTCGCAGAGCGCAGGCGGCATGCACTTGTTGCAGGGCCTACCCGTCGGGGGGCGCAGCACCTCGGCAACGACGTCGACGCGGCATCCACCCTGGCGCAACAGCCCGCTGTCGGTGTCGCCTGGTTGCTCTGTTCCGTCCTGACCTGGCCCGCCTCGTGTGGCATCGCACCACCCACCGAACAGCCCCTGGTGTCGGACGGCCTTTTGAGGGGTTCCGCGCATGCCCATGGCCTGCCAGTCGACGACCCAAGACGGCAAATCATCCGACGCTGCCGCTGCTCTCGGCACCACCGAGTCGAGGCCGAAGCTGCCGTACGCCGAGTCGCCGTGCATGATGAGGGCCCTCGTCAGCGTGGCGAAGACGTGGGCACGCGTCTTTGTGTAGTCGACCTGTAGACCGAGGGCCTCTCCATCCGAGACGATGCCGAGAATGGCGAAGACAACATCGCGCGGGTCCGTCACGGCGTAGTAGGGCCGTCCCGGCGCCGGGTCCCGAATGTACAGAATGTCGAGCAGCATCAGCGACACGCCAGCGTGATAGTCGGCGCGGGTGTTGAGGGCGCGAACGTCGAGCATCTGCTCATCGACGGCGGCAGCGAAGGCTCGGTAGCGCGGCAGGGCGGGACGAAAGGTGCGCTTGCAGGCCCAGATGACGCCGAGGGCGGCGGTTGAACAGAGGCAGAGGCAGCGTGGCGTTGCCGCAGGCGATGACGGCGTGACGGGGTACCGTGGACTTTCTTGAATGATCCACATGCGCGTCCAGGTAGTCTCGCTCGAGCATGTCCTGGATGCCGGCGTTGCGTGGGCGTGGGAGCGCCTTGTGCTTCGTCTGCATACATGTCGGGTTCGGCAGGGAGCGCTCGTAGAACGACGCCACGGCATGCTCATCGTGGGTACGGTCGAGTTGAATCGGAAAGTCGGGGTTCTCGGAGGCGATCTGATGATATCGGCACTTCCCTGCCCTGCG